CACCCCACCGCCAGCCGTGGCGAGGATGTGCCTTGGGCTCTGATGGCTGCCCCCAGGCAGGTCCCTGGGCAGGGGGGCTGGGGGCCATGGGGACAGACTTCCCGAGTGCCTCCAGCCACAGTGACAGGGACAAGTGGCTCTCCACCGCAGGTGTGGTTGGCCCCAGTCTCTCTCATTTGAGATCTGTCCTGGTGCCCCGCGTGGTCACGTCCTCCCAGCTCCAGGGCACCCACGGCACAGCAGCAGGGCAGAGAGGACAGGGCTGTGGCGGGCTGGGCTGAATGCCCCCACCCTGGGCAGCCACGGGGAACCTGCGTGTGCACAGCTGTGGGCTGGTCAGAGTGTGGCCAAGCCCTGGGCAGGCGAAGCGGTGTCACCGTGATGCACCAGCGTCTCTCCAGCACAGGGAGCGACGCTGCTGCCCGGGGCACAAGCCAGGCCAGAGCTCAGGGGAGCCAGCAGCGACCTGCCCATGCCCACCCTGAGCCATCACCAGACCTGTGCCACAGGCAGTAGATGCCCCAGGAGCAGCTGCCTCCGGCTGGAAGGAGCCTCATGCTTCCTCATGCTAAAAAAAGCCACCAAGCACAGACACGTGGCACCAGCCTCATATCCCAGGACACCTCCATGGGGCCAGGCTGGCAGGGGGACCCCAGGCTGGCAGGGGGACCCCCGCCAAAGGAAACACCTTGCCCCAGTGAGCAGTGCTCCATCAACGCCCACCCCGGTCCCAGGAGCCCCGCACACCGGCAGTGGGTGTCTTGGGATGCCAGGGCAGGGACGCCTCCCCATGGCACCCCTGCCCTGCCGGCATGGACAGCGGCTCACTCCATGGCAGGGCCAGCACGGGAGCAGCACCGGGGCCGCCGGACATTTTGCAGCAGAGCCCGAAAGATGCTGGGCTGCCTCTTGGCCTCACCTTTGCGGGGGGCTCCCTTGACGGAGCCGGTGCGGGTGCTCTGTGGGGTCATCACCACCTGCCGCCCATGCTCCTCAATCTGCTTCTCCAGGTGCTTCTGGATGGCCATGCCCAGCACCTCCACCTCCATGGAGGCCCCGTACACCTCCCATGTCATCCCCTTCTCGTCCCAGCTCACCTCCCGGATGGGCTCCGGAGCCTCCTCCACCACCGTCCCCTTCACGTGCACCTCAGGGTACGAGGCCTGCGGGGACTTGGTCACCGGCGTCATGGGCCCGGTGGCCACTGAGCGGGTCTCCACGGGCATGGACACCTGCATCTCCGCGTCCTTCTTGGAGGGCTCCAGGCGCGGGGCGACAGCAGAGCCCAGCTCTCTCTTGGGGAAGGTGAAGGCAGCAGCCCCGCCCGGGGGGCTCATGGGGCTCAAGGCCACCGACACCAGGGATGCTCGGCTGTCCACTTGCGTCCCCGTGTCCTGCATCCCGGCGTCCTGCGGTGGGGTCACCTCGAAGGAGTAGGACTCGCAGAGCAGCTTGGCTGTCCGGGGCTGCTGGCTGCTCCCGGCATCCGCATCTCCGGCTGGGCTCCCCTCGGCTCTGTCCTGGCCCAGGGTGGCGGGATTCGGCCCTGCCTCACTTCGGCCCCCGCTCCCTGCAGTGCTGGCGCCAGGGGGGGCTCGCGGGCCCCCCT